ATATATTTATATATATATTATATATACCGCACATGGCGTTTATTAAGGGGGATCACACATTCCTTAAACACCTCAGGGTTATCCCCAGACTCATGTAGGGTCTAATATGCTCTCAAATCTAAAGCTCATTTGCAGCATCCCTCAAGTTTTTCCATTGAATCCCACGTGGAGCACCGACGCACCACTGAATATGCATCACTCCGCTGCAGGCATCATTATATACCGAGTTATTCCATCGAGAGAAGTTATAGATGAACTATTAAGTTATAGTACTATATAAGTACGAAGAGATATTAGTCGAACTTTTACTGACGACGTGCTCAACCTTTCAAACCTTGCTTCCCACCTCCTTCCCGCTCTCTCACCACAAATGTACACAGACAGACAAATGTACAACGACGCCTCACTCCTATCCAATCCCGCCAAAAGTTACGAACATGAACACATGGCGAGCGAAGACACGCACCCAGAGTTCCGAGACAACTCACGCACGTACGAGAGCGTGAGATTTCGCGCAACCCAGTTAGCTACTAGGACGCCTCCGCCGCGCCTCCTCAGTCCGCGCTGCGGCGGAGGGACCACCCCCCCCCCGGGGGCGGGAGGGGGAGGGAGTACCTACCTCTGCACGGGTCGTTCTTGACGAGGAATTCGTCGAGCGCGATCCATCCGCCGCCGACGCGCACCATCGCTGTGCTGCGCAGTATCTTCACCAGCCGCAGCTTCTGCGAATCGCCAAACTGCCGGGGAGAGAGAGAGAGACGAGAGAGAAGGTTAATCGCACAGTCACATAGGAGCTGCATGGACGGAGAGAGGTTAATCACACGGTCACATAGGAGCTGCATGAACGGAGAGAAAAAGTCGCATGGAGGGAACGGGTGCTCGCATCGGATAATAGGTGGGAAGATGAGAGAAAAAGTCGCATGGAGGGAACGGGTGCTCGCATCGGATAATAGGTGGGAAGATGAGAGAAAAAGTCGCATGGAGGGAACGGGTGCTCGCATCGGATAATAGGTGGGAAGATGAGAGAAAAAGTCGCACAGTTAAATAGAAGTCGCACGGAGGGAACGGGAGTTGAGTGACGGTCGCCAGGGGGCGCCTGCGTCGGACGGCGCGTGGGAAGGGAGTAGTCGACATTGCGTTTAATGACGATCTTGATGAGATGTTCGTCTGCCGCGCGGGTGACCCGCAGTGAGATGGGCACTGATCTTTCACATGCACGGATGATTCATTTTGTGCTATCTATATTTATGTAAATGTCTATATTATCTATCTGTCTCTCTCTCTCTCTCTCTCTCTCTATATATATATACTTACATATCAATTGCATTGTCTAAGGGGGAAGGGAATGGTTGATGCAGCTGACAGTGGTGCAGTAGTGGGGGAAGATGTGGGCCAGAATGATTATTATTTTAATGAACAGTTCTCTTGCGTGTGGCGCGATACCGATCAGACGTTCACGCGATGCTACTAATGCCAATTGACATTTCAGATGGTCTCGCGTCATTCCCCGCTGTTAACACCGGGGTCCCATTCCACCACTTCATAAATAATAATAAATAAATAATAATTAATAATACATAATGCCACAATGAGAAAACTCAGTAAGATGTATATAGAAGTTATGTTGTGTTGAAACACCTTGCTTACACTTACAGCAAACATTGCTGGCCTACTGCAGAGCTGTGTGTGCAACCACCTCTCGGTGCAATCGTGACTCGAGTGCTGAGCACTCAACAAAACAAGTGGCTGCTAGTATGTATTGGATCCATGCAGTGCGTGCCCATATACGACGAGGAAAGCAACCCTAACATGCACCGAACTGCCCCTACCAGAGCAACGCACGTGCACATCGCATAGAAACACCTTATGTAAACAGCCCTTATGTAAGCCGATAGCACCGGTAACAACTAGTGGCTCACTGCAATTTCTCCCAGGAAACGTTCTACTCGATTTCATGCACAGCCAAAGAGCGTTCGCTAGCCAAACCAAAGCACGAACGCCCATCCCTCTACTCTACGTTCGAAACTACCATTACACACTCCCAAAACTCTATGCACCTCTATGCTCTTGCAGATTCACTGCAGCTAGCTTAAAAGCAAATGTCTAGTCTCGCCCACTAATATTCACAGCATGCCGATTGAATCTGTGGAGGATCAGGAGGAGAAAACTCTGCAAGCGACTCTGTTGTATGCAGTATTTCCCCTGGCCAAAAAGTGAGGTAGTAAATTCTTTTGGTGTGTTTGCGCGTTTCGAGGTCCTAGCAAAGGAACCCCCCCTCGAAGAAATTTTTGAAAAAATGGTGCACTTTTGTGCATTCTCAGCTATTCTGAACATATTGTATGAGATTTTCGTCAGCGAGGCGGTGTTTTGAACAAATGTCTGTGTGGCGGCTGAGAATTTGAGCGAGGCGGCGTGTCAATGCAGGGGGAAACACTGGTACGTACGGACAGCATGGCCATGCACGTGTACATGTACGTTACTCGTCAGCACGGGCAAATTAAACACAGCAACACTCTCTCTGCAAGCACGTGCGCATACGTGTACCTTAAAGATGGCGCCGATAACTTGATAGTCCTGCGGGAAACGAAAGCTATTAAGTGACGTCACGTATGTGAGTGTGACGACACGTAAAGTGCAAGTGGACGATTTTCGGTTGTGTGCAAACGTTGCGTACGTGACTGAAATTTTTCCCCCTGCGTACCACCAGCTGCGTGCAGCGGCACGAGGTAACTGCAACCCATCTCTCAACATCAACCTTGTCCATCACGTTCTGTCTCTGTCAAACCTGTCTATCAAGCTCTATGTCAGTGTCAAACTTGTCCATTACGTTTTATGTCCATGTCAAACTTGTCTATCAAGCTCTATTTCAGTGTCAAACTTGTATATTATGCTCGATGACTATTATCGATACTTGTCCCTCAGTCAATTAACGATACTTGTCCATCAGTCAATTAACGATACTTGTCCATCAGTCTATTAACGATACTTGTCCATCAGTCTATTAACGATACTTGTCCATCAGTCTATTAACGATAGTTTTCCATCAGTCTATTATATTAACGATACTTGTCCATCAGTCTATTATATTAACGATACTTGTCCATCAGTCTATTATATTAACGATACTTGTCCATCAGTCTATTATATTAACGATACTGTCCATCACGCTATGCATACTATCAGGAGTAGATAAAGGGAACCCTTATCTACCCTTTATCTACTCCTGATACTATACATCTATGACAGATATATCATGAGGGAGCCCTCGCCTGTTCACGCAGGGCTCGGGGAAACATCGCCGCGCATACATGTGCGTGGCGCCGGGGGCGCGGGGGGTTGCCTACGTACCCTGTATTTGCCCTCGCCTATCTGATGCACGAGGAATGGGAACTGTTTCGGGCAAGAGCAGTTGTGCACGGCCCGCTTCACCTCGTCATTGATCACGTCCGCGTTCGTCTTCGGCTTCGAACTCTGCAAGGAAACAGACGACATAAGATACACAGTCAGTAAACACGGACACACGAGGGACTACACAACACGCGGGTCAGCAAAAGCAAACGACGAGGCACCCGATTAACAAACATGAACACACGGAGTTTCAGCGAGCGATGGCGACACGAAACGCAGGTCGCTGTTGAAACTCCAAACTACGAATTTTATCTAGAATTTATGCTGGACTGATTCCATCTAGATTTTATGCTAGACTAATATTATTTAGATTTTATGCTACTGATTTCATCATCTAAACTCCAGATAAACAGAGGTAGAACTGACAGAAAACTTAAACAGAGGTAGAATCGACCACTAAAAACTCTAGGTCTCAGATAACAACAACGACCGAAAATATTTCTCCGCATAACCACAGATAACTACCTCGCTCTCTCTCTCTCTCTCTCTCTCTCTCTCTCTCTCTCTCTCTCTCTCTGAGCACTCAACAAAACAAGTGGCTGCTAGTATGCATTGGATCCATGCAGTGCGTGCCCATATACGACGAGGAAAGCAACCCTAACATGCACCGAACTGCCCCTGAACCAGAGCAACGCACGTGCACATCGCATAGAAACACCTTATGTAAACAACCCCTTATGTAAGCCGATAGTACGGGTAACAACTAGTCGCACTGCACTTTCTCCCAGGAAACGTTCTACTCGATTTCATGCACAGCCAAAGAACGTTCGCTAGCCAAACCAAAGCACGAACGCCCATCCCTCTACTCTACGTTCGAAACTACCGTTACGTCCCGCTACACACACTCACAAAACTCTATGCACCTCTATGCTCTTGCAGATTCACTGCAGCTAGCTTAAAAGCAAATGTCTAGTCTCGCCCACTAATATTCACAGCATGCCGATTGAATCTGTGGAGGATTAGGAGGATTAGGAGGAGAAAACTCTACAAGCGACTCTGTTGTATGCAGTATTTCCCCTGGCCAAAAAGTGAGGTAGTAAATTCTTTTGGTGTGTTTGCGCGTTTCAAGGTCCTAGCAAAGGTTGTGTTTGTGCATTTTGAGCTATTCTGGACACATTGTATGAGATTTTCGTCAGCGCGGCGGTGTTTTGAACAAATTTCTGTGTGGCGGCTGAGAATTTGAGCGAGGCGGCGTGTCAATGCAGGGGGAAACACTGGTACGTACGGACAGCATGCACATGTACATGTACGTTACTCGTCAGTACGGGCAAATTAAACACAGCAACACTCTCTCTGCAAGCACGTGCACATACGTGTACCTTAAAGATGGCGCCGATAACTTGATAGTCCTGCGGGAAACGAAAGCTATTAAGTGACGTCACGTATGTGAGTGTGACGACACGTAAAGTGCAAGTGGACGATTTTCGGTTGTGCAAACGTGTCGCATACGAGACTGAAATTTTTCCCTCTGCGTACCACCAGCTGCGGGCAGCGGCACGAGGTAACCCATCTCTCAACATCAACCTTGTCCATCACGTTCTGTCTCTGTTAAACTTGTCTATCAAGCTCTATGTCAGTGTCAAACTTGTCTATGAAGCTCTATGTCTATGTAAAACTTGTCTATCACACTATGTCTGTGCCAAACTTGTATATGTAAAACTTGTCTATCACACTATGTCTGTGCCAAACTTGTATATTATGCTCGATGACTATTAGCGATACTTGTCCATCAGTCTATTAGCGATACTTGTCCATCAGTCTATTAACGATAGTTTTCCATCAGTCTATTATATTAACGATACTTGTCCATCAGTCTATTATATTAACGATGCTGTCTATCACGCTGTATACATCTATGACAGATATATCATGAGGGAGGCTCGGGGAAACATCGCCGCGCATACATGTGCGTGGCGCCGGGGGCGCGGGGGGTTGCCTACGTACCCTGTATTTGCCCTCGCCTATCTGATGCACGAGGAACTGTTTCGGGCAGGAGCAGTTGTGCACGGCCCGCTTCACCTCGTCATTGATCACGTCCGCGTTCGTCTTCGGCTTCGAACTCTGCAAGGAAACAGACGACATAAGATACACTGTCAGTAAACACGGACACGCGAGGGACTACACAACACGCGGGTCAGCAAAAGCAAACAACGAGACACCCGGTTAACAAACATGGACACACGGAGTTTCAGCGAGCGATGGCGACACAAGCAGGTCGCTGTTGAAACTCCAAACTACGAATTTTATCTAGAATTTATGCTAGACTGATTCCATTCAGATTTTATGCTAGACTAATATTATCTAGATTTTATGCTACTGATTTCATCATCTAGACTCCAGATAAACAGAGGTAGAACCGACCACTAAAAACTCTAGGTCTCAGATAACAACAACGACCGCAAATATTTCTCTGCATAACCACAGATAACTACCTCGCTCTCTCTCTCTCTCTCTCTTGAACATTCTCCCACCACAAGTACGTACTCTCAGAGATTAGCAGGGGGGAGGATGCGACCTACCTCTCTATCGGGCCGGAGCGCGGCCACGAACTCTCGGTAGTCGATGTAGCCGTCGCCGTCTCGATCGAAGATGTCAGCGACGGCGTCCATCTCCATGCGGTTCGTCGCAAACTCTGCACAGGCGAGAGAAATATGCGTCTCATGAGAGCATATTTATCGCAGATTCGTTTAAGGAAGTAGATTCGAAGGATTCGTCGCTGGATTTTGTTATTACACTCAAACAGAAGAATAAGGCTTCACATTGACACTAAACGTGAGAAATCTATCGTCACCGGCGTGTAACTTACTTGAGGCGAGTATGCCCTCTATGAATTCCTCTCGCGTCACCTTGCCGTCGTGGTCCTTGTCCTGTCTGCGGAAGAAGTCCATCACGCGAGACTTCTTGTGGTTCATCCACTTCATGTACTGTAACGAAGAAACAAAGCCACGCTCAATATACACGTGCATCGGTGCATACAGATGCAGAAACAATGATGATGATGCAAAGAGCAGATTTGTTAGCAACCGTACACCGATTTGGCTTCTCCATGCTTAATTTTACTCGACTGTAAAATTTCTTTAGTATGAAGAAGAGTACGTTTAATTTTGTAATGAAAAAGACATAAGGATGATGAACAAGACTTAGTATAGTTTAGAAAATGACCACGTAACTATGAATGATCATTCATAAAATAGTGTAAAAGTCTGTTTGTAATGACAAAGATATGATATGTTTGGAAAATTCTTCGAAAACTTTGAATGACTATTCGCAAAACAGCGTGAAATGTGCCGCATTACGGACGAATGGCACGGCTGCTCCAAATTTACCCGAGACTGGATAGAACGTAAAGTTTAAAATATCGTAACGTAACTGAAATAGAACTTAATTGAACAGAAACTAGAACGCAACCGAACATAAACTGCGACGCGTTACGGACGAATGGCACGTCTCATCCAAATCTGCGCTAGACTAGCTAGAACGTAAAGTTTAAACTACCAACAAACATAGCTCACCCTCTGTCGCCAGTCCTCGAAGCTGAACTGCTTGAATCGCTCGACCTCCTGAAGGTGATTGTACATGTCCTCCAGCTTACGCTGTCGCTCGATTGCCAGCAGCCACACGCCGCGCCACTTGTTCGACAGCTCGGACACCCGCGGGTTCTTGTACTCGGGGCTCTCACTGGTGGCGAGAGAGAAACGTTGCTCGTGATTAAAGTTAAGGACTTACATCGAGCTTTTCCGCCGTAGTGTTAATTGATTGAACCTAGTTTGATCAACATGCAACTTGGCGACGTGCATGTATGTATGTATGTTCCTTGTTAAATCCTCGACGTCAGATACTGACTCTAACAGCAAACCCTGCGCACCTGCTCACCTATCAACTTCTACTTTTCTTTTCAGTTGTCGAAGTACCACTCTTTCTTTGTTAATTGATTGAACCTAGTTTGATCAACATGCAACTTGGCGACGTGCACGTATGTATGTTCCTTGTTAAATCCTCGACGTCAGATACTGACTCTAACATCAAACCCTGCACACCCGCTCACCTATCAACTTCTACTTTTCTTTTCAGTTGTCGAAGTACCACTCTTTCTTTTTATCTTTCTCTCCCCCCTCTATCTCTCTCTTACTCTCTCCTTGTCTCTCCTTTCCTTCTTCTACATCTTCCCTGGATGACAACCACATCGTGCACCCCACCCATCCTTCTCCCGCTCCCCTCCCTCTCACCTTGCGTGCACGCCCTTCTTTCCCCGCGCGAGCGGGATGCTATGCGACGCGTCAGCTCCTCCTCCTCCCCTCCTCCCCTCATCCCTCCCCTACCTCCCTCACCCCCCTCTCACCTTGCGTGCACTCCCTTCTTCCCGCGCGCGAGCGGGGTGCTATGCGACGCGTCAGCTCCTCCTCCTCCTCCCCTCTCCACGTCGGGCTGTCTCAGCTGCATGTCCGCCTGGAAGTCCTGGTGGTCTCGTATCAGCTCCTCGACCGCGGGCAAGTCCTCGGGGATCGGCTGCGTCTCCAGCGCCTTCATCGTCGCCTCGGCGCCCGTCAGCCAGCCGAGCAGCGACTCGAGCAGCGCGGCGTTGTCCCGCAGCACCGCTAGGTGGTCGTCGAGCCGCGCGTCCCGCCCCGCCGCCCACCCGCTCACCTCCTCCCAGCGCGTGGCGACGATCGTCAGCCAGTGTCGCACGGCGGCGACGGCGTCCGGGTGGCACTCGCGTAGGATGGCGGCGCCGGTGGTCTCGCAGTGACGCATGTCTGCCTCCCGCGCCGCGAGGTCGGCTAGTAGCTTCTGCAGGGAGGGAAGAATGTACATGAGAGAGAAGAAGAGAGAGAGAGAGAGAGAGGTCGTTAGTGAGTGAAGGGAGGCGGTCTCGCAGTGACGCATGTCCGCCTCCCGCGTCACGAGGTCGGCTAGTAGCTTCTGCAGGGAGGGAAGAACGCGTGTGAGAGAGAAGAGAGAGAGAGAGAGAGAGGTCATTAGTGAGTGAAGGGAGGAGGCGTGTGAGAGAGAGAGAGAGAGAGAGAGAGACACACAGAGAGAGAGAGATAGAGAGGTGAGAGATGAGCGAGGGAGGAAACCATTTCATTAATGAGGCGAACGGAAGAGTGAGCGAGAGAATGCTACAACATTAGTCGAGTGGCGGGGGATAGACGGAGAAAGAAAGAAAACTGTTGTTACTGAGGTAAGAGGTGAGCGAAGGAAGAGAGAGGAGAGAGGAAGCCATGTAGTTAGTGGCGTGTGGGGAGGAGCCAGAGTAGGTTTTAGTAGGTGAGGGGAAGGAGGCTACATTGTTAGTAAGACGAGGAATGAGAAAGAAGAGGAAAATAAAATTATTTAGTTAGCGAGGCAAGGCGGTGAGCGAGGGGAGGAGGGGGAGAGGGGAGGAGGGGGAGACTCACCTTGTGTTCCTCTATCTGAGCCAGCACGGTCTCCTCATCCTCAGGGAGAGGTCCCGCGTCCCTCAGCTGCATCTCTGCATCTGCCAGCCACTCCAGCAGCATGTGCATCGA